TGGGTGATTTTCTTATAGTCATCATCGGACAAAAACTATGCCATTGCAAAACCGATAAGACTTTCCTGTTTTATCGCCCCTTTTTCACTAGTATTGCATTGCCGGGTCTCAAATTATATTGGATAAATTATCTTAGTGGTTTAATCAAACGTCATGGATGATATAAAATGCTTAAGCTATTCACTGCTTGTGGCACGGATTTGGGATATTGAAAGACCGAGTTGGAAACCTCTTGATAGTCAATGTAATAAATAACACTCATGTTTTGATAGTTATGACTCAGCTTAGGATAAAGGTGGTGCATCGCGTCGTATTTGGATCGAAGTTAGAGAAAATAATCTTCATGGAAATACAAGGTTTACATTGAAAGACTTCAATGCCGGAGTTACTTTTCTAACCTTTGGCTCCAACTCAATACGAAAAGTAATATCATTATCCGTGATTATATAATAAATCCCACTTCGAGAAGTTTGAACGTGAAAGCAAAGAGAGGTACTTAAACAAGATGAATCGCTTTATTTTACAGGAAATGGAGTTTAACATTGGATAAGGGGAATGAGAAAAGTGAACATAGATAAAAATAAAGAGTTTGGGGTAGTTTCGAAGAATACTGCCAGTTGCTTCAAAACCAAAACAGTATCCTGGGAAGAAATTTGCATGTCCAAATTTATGGAATCCCTCCTTCGGAGAGTAGCGGTAGCAGAGCGTCGACCTACTCCACTTTCTCCGTCCTTCTCTTGTTCGTACCTTAAGCCAAAATCCCTCAATTATCGTTGTCTATTTTCCCCCATTCTCTCTCGTTCACTAATCAGGGTCCTTCGATTGGGTGGCATGACGCGTTCGTTAAATAAAATTCACCTGCCCCAAATTCCCATCATTGGAAATGCTCTTTGTCATAAAAAAGTTTTCGATATCTGTCTATTTTCTGAGATTTACATTATTCGGACTATTGTCCTAATCTTAGTCGCCATATTAGCAGGTTAGTAGTTCCAGGAATACGGGTTAGTAGCAAAATATCTATACAGTCTTTGGTATTGAAGTATCGCTATATGACTTCTTACTGAGTCTACGTGCTCGCTCACGCTGACTCTTGCTCGCTGCGTTCATTCTGTCTGTTACCTTACTCTCAGTTGCTCTCGTCTCTCGAGTCTTCACGTAGCAGTAGTATATGTAGATACTGGGTGAGTCCATTTGTGCAAAAAAGAGGAGAACCCCTCAACATAAAGTTTTGGATATTTTCCAGATTTATCATCTTGGATAATTATAATTTTTTTCGCGTCTTCGAGGAAGGCTTGACCAAACTTTTATCTTACCAATTGACCGAATTCTTCATCATTCGAATTTTTCATTATATCAAACGAGATCTTATTTCTTTGGCGATACGCACACCCTCCACCCCATTATCAGCAAGTGGTATACAATCATTTCCTTATTCTTTTCTTCTACTTATAACCATAAAATTATAATCTGCGACAATTGGTCAATTCGCGGATGTCATTGCATTGTCGCCAAATCGACCCTTGGATCTCACTTTAACCAGAGGCCCAAATGGGTTTTAGCGAGGCCCTTTATTCACGAAGTGAGTAAAAAAAATAAAAGTATATTTTCTTTTGTTTTCGGTATGTCCGTCAGTCTTCGCTTTTCTGTTCACTTTCGATTTCATTTAAGCCTTTGTTTCTCTCTTCAAATTATTGGCATTCTTACAGTATCACAGTATCACTGGCTGAAATACAACGTAATAAACAAAGCAGAGATTAGACTTTACAAACTTTGGCAGTGCGCTTGAAAATTGACAGGTAGTGATTATGGTTCGCCATAATTTCTTATCTTTTGTTGTTTTAAACAGTGTTTGTCTTCTTACTATAATATCCAGCCTCTTTTCTGCCAACCGCCAGCTTGGGTAGGTTCACCACTGCCCCTCCTGCTTTCATTATGTCAAATTCTCGCTATCCTCTTTTCTCATTCTGTCCCCAATAAATTATAAATGGCTGTTTCTGATTCTTAGTGTCATTTTAATTTTTATTTCTGTTAAAACTTCCTCGTTGCTCACATGCTCTGTCAATTGTATTCTCAACATATATCGGCAGAACTTTCTCGTTGCTCACATGCTTTGTCTATTGAATTCTCAGCATCCTTCTGTAGAAATTCATCATTGCTCACATTCACTGTCTATTGTATTCTCAGCATCTTTCTGCAGAACTTCCTCGTTGCTCACATGCTTTGTCTATTGTATTCTCAGCATTCTTCTGAAGAACCTCCTTGATGCTCACATGCTTTGTGTATTGTATTCTCAGCGTCCTACTGTAGAACGGCAGAGGATTCACTAACATCTAGGAGGATTGATATTAATTGATATTCCGATTTCTCTGTCGCCATTTCCATCGGACAATGACTTACAAATATCTTTATCTGCATTTAATACAATAACATTATGTTAGCTAAAAATAACTTGTATCTACAGCAACTGGTTAAAGTTTAGTCCACCTTCGTATATATGACGCAGAAGATACTTTCGTGTCAGTTTTTAAAGTGAGGGTCTTGTGGTTTCATCAAATAGGGTACATTTGTCTGCTTAGTCACATGAACTTCCCTCATGACAACTGTGTGGCTCTAAGGTTTATGAGAAAGCCGAGTATCAGTACAGTTAGTCAAATTTCTTATAATTGTTTCTTAAATATTATTTTTTTAAATATCATATCTCCTCAGAATGTAGGCATTGACTACTAACCACAATATTTTTATTATCTGTAAATTCCCGCGATTTTTTTTTGGAAATATACTGGAATCATTTCCCGTTGTTTTCTCCACAGTTTTGAATTCAGATTTTTCCTTTTGTTTTAGACCAGTTGTCACCGAAGTTTAGACAGCGCAGTCGATAAGGTTATTTAATAACTCTCAGCTTGGGAATTAAATATTAATAATCGTTAAAATAAAGAGAATCAATTTAGATTTAAATAATTTAATAAAGTTTAACAATGTTAATATAGACAAGGAAAGGAAACAGTGAGAACTCCCAGAAAAATTAGTAAAGGAAAGACAGAAGAAAGGACTAAACGCCAATTGTTAGAAAATAGAATCTATGGCTGTTAGCAAAATGAACATCCCGAGTTTCGAACTACGAAAAAGGAAACACCAAAATCAAGCAAAATTTAAATACCTCGGAAGTTTTTCAACAGAAGGCAGAAAATATGACACCGAAATCCGAAGGCACATTTACGGTAGCGAAAGTTGTCTTCTCAAATCTAAGCAAAGTATAAAGAAATAGAAAAATTTCGTTATAAGCAAAGTAAAGCGATGGACTGTTATGTTACATCAGTCCTCTTATATAGAAATGAATGCTGGACAAACTCAGCACCGAGGAAAAAGAAACAGAAATGTGGTTCTACAGAAGGATGTTGTGAATATCATTGACTGAATAAATTAGTAACGGAGAAACTTCAAGGAAAATGGGAATCAAAAAGAACATTATATTTACAATCAGGATGAGAGATTTGGAGGACTTGGAGAATTTGATACTCACAGGATATATTGAAGTCAAGAAGGACAGCAGAAAGCAGGGACCCCCCCTCCTCGCCCTGTAATGATCTGGTGTAAATTGATGTCAAAACAAGGATTAGGAGGGACAGCAGAAAGACAAACCTTACTAAGAGCTACAGCTGTCAGGATGTTGTGGAGAGCCATGATTTCCCACGTCCTGAAGGGATGCGGCACATAGAAGAAGTATATGGTTTAATTGGTCATAAAAGTATTCTGAATTGTGTAAATACTTACAACAGAGATGATAAGTCAAGAGGATTTTTTATGATTTACTGAACAAATGGTGAAATTCACTGATTCCCGTACGGTTACTGAAGTTAAGCAACGTCGATTCCGGTCAATAGCTAGATGAATTATAACACGGCCAGCACAGTTCGATCCTGGGTTTCTCCTACGTTGCTCAGTACTGTCGCCGGTCAACAGATAGTTATCTGCTTTCCGCTTCGTTCCTTCATCTGCTTCTCTCCCATGTTGTGTTCTTTGATCACAGAGAAGTGAACATCGATATTTATTCTTACTCGGGCGCTGGGTCCAACTGCGGCGGAAGCGTTCTACAAAAGGACAAAGAAAATAAAAGAAAAATAACCTAAGAAAATAACAAAGAACGTCGCCGGGTTAATTTTCAAATGGTTTATAGAGTTTTTGATACAACAAAACTAATCCCTCCCCTTAAACTCTCTATTGTGACAATTTTTCTTCTAAAACTTGGAGCGGTTCAATCAACAAAGAAAGAGGTCAGTCAGGATTTCTTTCGGCAGGAGGTCATGTGGTGTTCAGCAGCTCATTCGTGGGATTCTGTTTCGTTTCGTCTGCGTCTCTTGCTGTCTTTGCTCCAACCGCTGGGCCGCTTAAGCGATCTGTTTATACGTATTTCGCCCGACTCCCACAGCACCTGACGACTCATCAATAATAGAGAAAAAGCATTGACCTTCAAACAAAGCGGTCAGTTATTCAAAACAATATATTCTTCGACAACAAACTTTGTTTATCATTTCTTTCTATATCCTGAAGATAATCGGCCCGCAATCGGTTACTTATTCCAAACAGTATTTATTCCGATAACAAACTTTGTGTTTATAAATTATTTCTATGTCACTGACATCGAAGTAATTTCTTTGTTGACCCTATCGGGTTGATAGGATTTAGAAAACGAATGAATCAACCAGTTAATGATGTAATTCGAGAGGAGGAGGTTTCGTGAAGTATGGATAAATATTTTTTGCTTTGACGTTTAAAAATGATTTGTGAACTTATTTAAAATAAATGTCGATTACGTTTATAAAAAAAGTGGGGGAAAAAGAAATGTAGAAGTAAACTGGCATTTCTAACTTTAACGTCGCTGACCCCCCCTTTTAGGGAATGAAAACAAATTTGGAACAAAAAACGCTTCTTCTTTTTTCTTATTTATCTTATGAATTGGTACAAATTACACATGGAGACAACATTTGTAGAGCTTCGAGCGTGTTGAAACACCGGTTCATGTACGATCACCGAAGTTAAGTAACGTCGAACATGATCAGTACCTAGATGGGTGACCACTTGGGAATACCACGTGATGTAAGTTTGGCTGTGCGGATAGTTTAATAGATAATGGCTTGGAATCGTTAATAGGAGAACCGAGTACCAATTCCCGTTGGATTCGCTATATTCCTTTACGCGCAAATACTTTTGGGAAAGGTATGAATCCACTTATTCTCCCTCCAGATACGGGTTAATTAGTAAGACTTGTATCACTAAACCATTATTATCTATTTTCTGTCTTTAAATAAACGACAAAGTATTGATAAACCGTAAAAAACAAATCAATCAATCAATAAAAATTGAGATTATTTTTACTGACAAAAGTAAGAACAATTTTCACTAAAGATAAAAGACATAAAATCATATCTAAAGTCTTTATATATATATATATATATATATATATATATATATATATATGTGTGTGTGTGTGTGTGTGTGTGTGTGTGTGTGTGTGTGTGTGTGTGTGTGTATATACTGCATGTAACAGCATAATTGTTCATCCCACAAAAAGGTTTATATCCAAAAAAACACTAAACTAATTGAGATATTTTTTTCCCTGGGTTATCAGATAAGATGTTTAGCCATCTTGATACCATTTATCGTAAGAATGACTGAAAACCTTTTGTGTTTCTGCCTATATTTCTGAGATGTCTTAAAAATGAATACAATATGGGAACCAGTAATAAGGAGTGCCAGAGAAAAGCGATAATAACAACAAAAGTTGCAATATGAGCTCTGGTAAAAACATATGTTAACAGCAGAAATTGCAGTATGAGCACTGGTAAAAATGATTGCTGAAGACATTAAGTTTATAATACCCAGAAATTCATACACGGGTGTCCTCAAGGACACATAGCACAGTGGGTAATGGCGTTGGTTAGCTCCAGTGACAGGACCCAAAGAGTGTGAGTTCAATACCTGGTTAAGGCAGAGGAGAACGTGGAGAGGGAATAAGAGAGCCTTGCTGAACTGTGATTCTATTCGTTGTCCACCGGTAAAGCACGTCGTATCAAACGGTACGTTGTTTTACAAAGGTGGGCGTAGGTTCGCTACATGCCGGAGAGAACATTTTCTATGTTCCGATTTCATGAATGAACAGGTCGATGGATATAATGCACACTGTTTGAAATAAAAATAGGATGTCCATTTCAAATACATTTGAAGTAATATACATTAGTTTTTTTTATATAGGTATGTGTATTCACGTAGCGTAGCGATAATAGCGCTGGAAGTGGAATGTTCTGGCCGATTTCGCTGAATTCACTTTCGCACAAATACCCTTGGGAAAGGTAAGAATACATATCTTCCCACCATACGGGACTTAAATCGTGGGGTAGGCTGTGTTCTCAAGCCTTGTTTAGCAGTCAGTCTAAGAGAAAGACAAATATGAATACAAAACTAATTATTCACGATATATATACTACACACACACACACATGCACATAAATATATATGTACGGGAAAAGAAAAAAAACACCTGATGATTTCGGCCATCATGAAACTCATAGTCGTGGTGTGTTTGTACGTAATACACATTGATGTTGTGCGTTTTAAAACACACGGACGCACGCACACAGGCAAGCAGGCACACATGCGCACAATTTAGCTCTTCAGGATAGAAGGACTCCAAATATATAGATAAGAGAATATTTACTAATCACTAATATCACCAGCGCATCTATCTATCTATCTATCTATCTATCTATCTATTTGCCTGAATGTCTGTATACTGTGCTTTTCCTATTTTATATATATATATATATATATATATATATATATATATATATATATATATATATATATATATATATATATATACATAAAATGCTTAGGTAGCAAGAAGATAACGAACGACGAGCAACCATTTCCACCTCAAATTCTTCGGACATCAAAAAAAGGAAATGTCATGCCAGTCTGTGAGTCTGATATGTTTGCCTGCGTTTACTGGGTAAATCGGCTTTTCCAAAGGGAGGTAATCTAATATAATGGCGCGGCGGGGTGAAACGTCTGACGCCGCTCTTGTGCTTTTCGCTTGCATTTCTTGCTCGAACAAATATTTAAATCAGTGAACGAAGACAAATTAGATTAGCTAACTTGACTTGTCAAAGTCTGATTGAATAAACGAAATAAAGAATAGAAATTTTCAGCACTATTCATTTCCTTTCCTTCTATTTATTTCACTCTGTTCATATCTATCTATCTATCTATCTATCTATCTATCTATCTATCTATCTATCTATCTATCTATGTCAGTCTGTTCATATCTGTGCCAGTCTGTTCATATCTATCTATCTATCTATCTATCTATCTATCTATCTATCTATCTATCTATCTATCTATGTCAGTCTGTTCATATCTATCTATCTATCTATCTATCTATCTATCTATCTATCTATCTATCTATCTATCTATCTATGTCATTCTGTTCATATCTATGTCAGTCTGTTCATATCTATCTATCTATCTATCTATCTATCTATCTATCTATCTATCTATCTATCTATCTATGTGTCGGTGTGTGTTACATGCATGTAGTTAAGAAACTATCAATTTATATATGAGGTAATTTATTTAAGAATGTAAATTCATCTATCTGCAGTGCATTGCAACATTTTATGTAAGTCATGTTTTTTTGTTGTAAATATGTTGTTATTAACTCTATGTATTTGAACTGGAGTCGGTCAAATGTATGACAACACTGAAATGCGCATCGTATTCAATAAAATGTGATTCTGCGCAACTGTGAACAAATCGTAACCACTGTTTAAATTTTATGCAAATTAGGCCATAAAGTGTAATGATGATAAGACTAAAACTGTCCACATACTTCATAATGATAAAACATTAGAACTTTACAGAGTTATTGTCAGGAAGCATTCTACGACTAAGATATTTGTAATGAACTGCTTAGAGTATGCGACCGGGAGTAAGATGAAGATTTAGAAATCGTAGGCATTCACTCGATAAAGGAGGACCCAATTAAAAACGACGATTTGGTCGCCCTCATCTCGTTGTTGTTACGAGCTATTCAAAGCCATTGGAACTTCAGCTGTGCCTAAAGCGTTACGATGCCACACAATGAAGCTATTAGGAATGGACACCAAACGAATTGTTCGCTCTCCGAACTGGATATTTCACTGCGCGCATGTCACTTCCGAATGCGACAAAAAGTAGAAAATCCCCTCATTAAGCGTATTAAATGTACCAAACAGAGCACTTTCTGAACAAGTGTAGGGCAACGCTGGGTGGTCCCAAAAGTTAATGAAATGGATAGTATAAAAAGAATCAAGTAAATGCTGTTTAGTCAAAACATTTCAGCAAGTAGGTGGAGGGATTAAAGTTTAGTCGATAATCAAAGGTAATGTCTTGGTTGGCTTCTAGCAACTTGATGATGGCATTAAAATGGTGTCTTTTTGCCATTGTCATAAAAGACAACTTTCAAGCATATACGAATATAAAGTCACTGGAATTTAAAAGAAATGTTTTCATGCACGGTAAAGTTACATTTGGCTGATACTAATTAGGGTTGAAAAAAAAAAAAGACAGGCTTATGGTGTGGCGGCTATGTTCCTCTGATCTAAGTTCTGTAGAAGATTTTTGGAACCTTGTCAAGAGATGTGTTTATTAGGATTTAGATTTAGATGTGTTACTTTACCGGTACACCAACCACACGGGTCATTTCGTGCCAAATCGGGTCGTTTTAAGATTTGTTTTTGTGTTTATTTTGTAGACAAATTCTTTTATAAGTCATTATTATATAAGGATGGTGGTGTAATTCGGTCTAGTTCCATTTTGTAGCCGGGTGTTTATTTGGATTCTTTTTGATATTTCAGGGTAGAATTTTTTACATTTAAAAATTCTCGATTAGCTTTGGGATCGATACTCGCAAAGAGTGTTTTAAGGTTGGGTACATTGTAAAAGTATCAGTTCATCCCATAAGTTCTGTCCGAATTTTAACTCTTTGTTAAAATGAACGAAATTTAAAGAGTATTTTATGTCTAGTGGAGCTGAACATTATTTTTATGTTTAGATGCATTTAAACGGATCAAATTTTATTTAAGAGAACAATAAAATTAAATTTTGTTTGATTAAAACCCTGCTAACATGGAAGTACCCAAGAATCATTTGAGGCACATAATGCTTTATGAGTTCAAGAAAGGAAACTCAATAGCCGAAGCGGCTAGAAACATTCACTCAGTTTATGGAGAGGAATGTGTGAATGAAAGAACTTGCAGAAGATGGTTTGCAAAATTCAGAGGTGAAGATTTCACCCTTGAAGATGAAGATTGAACCGAATGTTCAGTTGAGTTTGATGAAAAGCTTCTTGAAGCAGCCCTTGAAGAAAATTCTGCTTTATCAGTTGAGGAATTGGCAGTGGTTCTCAGTTCAAACCATACAACTGTTCATCGTCATCTTCAACAACTTGGAAAAGTTCCTAAACTTGGAAAATGGGTGCCTCATGAATTGTCTGAAAACAACCTCAAATCCAGAGTTGACATCTGCTCTTCTCTCCATTCTCGCCAACTTGTTTCACCTTTTTGGTGACGAAAAATGGATCTTTTATCGAAATGTTAAGCGTCGTAGACAGTGGCTTGGTAAAGGGGAAGGACCCCAGCCACAGCCGAGAAGGGAACTTCATGGACAAAAGGTTCTTCTTTCAATCTGGTGGGATCGCCAAGGAATAATCCACTTTGAATTCTTACCACCTAATGCAACAGTTAATGCTCAAATATACTGTCAGCAATTAAAGCGTTTGAACCAAGCTTTTAGGAAAAAAAGACCTGCTCTAGGGAATCGAAAATGGGTGATGTTTCATGAGGACAATGTGCGACCCCACACAGCAAGAATCGCGTCACAAAAGATCGAAGAACTTGGTTGGGAGAAAATTCCTCATCTACTTTATTCTCCCGATTTTGCTCCTTCAGACTACAATTTGTTTCGAGCTTACAGAATCATTTGGAAGAAACAGCTTTTGTAACACAGGAAGAGGTTAAAACTGACATTTGTGAGTTCTTCGAATCAAAGCCAAAAGAATTTTAC